GGGGGAGGGAGAGAGAGAGAGAGAGAACAAGAAAGAGAACGAGGAAAAGAGGGAGGGACAAAAAGAAAGAGAGAGAGAAAGACAGAGAGAGAGAGAGGGAAGGAGAGAGAGAAAGAAAGAAAAAGAAAGAAAGAGAAAGAAAGAAAAGAAAGAAAGAAAGAAAGAAAAGAAAAGAAAAGAAAAGAAAAGAAAAGAAAAGAAAAGAAAAGAAAAGAAAAGACAGTCTGGTTTTTATTGAACAGCTTTGCTGATACGTTTGTCTGCCAGAAATAAAGAGGTGAACTTTAACATGGCTCTGTGTTTGCTTGGAGCCTGGAAACTCTGCAATACGATGCTTATAGCAGCTGCAGAAGAGACAGACAGGCATCAAACAGACATGAATTTCCTCCATCACCCATAAATGGGTGTTAGAACGTCAACAAAGGGTAGAGCAAGACGCAAGAGACATGTTTGAGGAGGCCCGTGAGAGGCCTGGGATCCCCAAGCTTCATCTTTTAAAGCACCCATTTTACAGACGGGGTAAATGAATCTCAGATTGGGCCTTGACCATCATTGTTAGATTTATCCAGAAGTGGGCAGTGTGCAACCCCGATCTCCTTTACTTGCAACCATTAGGTAAAGGTTCCCCTCGCACATACATGCTAGCCGGCTCTAGGAGGGTGGTGCTCATCTGTTACAAAGCCAAAGAGCCAGCGCTGTCCGATGACATCTCCGTGGTCATGTGGCCGGCATGACTAAACACCAAAGTCGCACGGAACGCTGTTCCCTTCCCACCAAAGTGGTCCCTATTTTTCTACTTGCATTTTTTTACATGCTTTCGAACTGCTAGGCTGGCGGACAAATAACAGGAGCTCACTCCATTACGCGGTGCTAGGGATTCGAACCGTCAAATTGCTGGCCTTTCTGACAGACAAGCCACTGAGCCACCACATCCATTATAACCAATAAAAACTGGAAGGGGCATTTATATTTAACAGGGGGGCACAGCTTGAGATTGAAAGCAGAGGTGGTATTTAGCAGGTTGTGATCAGTTCTGGAGAACCGGTAGCGGAAATTTTGAATAGTTTGGAGAACCGGCAAATGCCACCTCTGACTGGAGATTTTACGGCATCCTTCCCCTGCCACGCTCACCAAGATATACCCACAGAACTGGTAGTAAAAATGTTTGAATCCCACCACTGATTGAAAGGCCAAAGAACCGGGTTGCAAGAGGCCCAAATAAGCCTTGTAATAAAACCACAAAGACATCCTTCCCAATCCTTTTTACCGGTCGGCTCAAACTGTTGGCGGAAAGCCAACAGTTTTGGTTTGTAGGCTGATTGTGGCTTAGCTCACTGCATGGATTCAGGGATTCGTCAGAAATCTAAGGTGAAGCAAAGCAGGAGTATCAGTGGGGCAGATGGTGTGGGAAAGTCAAAAAAGTCAAGATGGCAGCTGCAACTGTGTGGCCTGGATTTTCAGACCTCCTGCCCCTTACAGCCACCCCTTTAACAAACCATGGCTTAGCCTGATGTGGGAAGCCAGACAAGGATTGGGAGGGGGATCAATCATAACCTGGGCCAACACACCTGTTTCAAACGCAGCGAATTTTACTCTTACGTTGCAAAGAGGAAGTAGTTCTGCTACTGTATACAGAAATTACAGCAACGGAATATTTCGAGGCAGGTTAACTACTTCACGCAGACCCAGAGGGTGCCAAAGGTAGTTTGATAAGCTGGCACTCCCTGTTTTCCCCCCCCAGAATCCAGTCTGGTTTCTCTCTTTCTCTCTGGCACCTGTGAATTTAGCTTTTTATCTGAGGGGGCCCACAGGTGGGGAGAGGAGAGGCTGTTATCAAACCTCCCTATTATCATTCATTGATAAAGGGGAAACAGTGTAAACCATGGTTCTTATTTTCGATTATCAGCCCTTTCCTTCTGCTTTTAACAAAGGGTTGATAAGCCTATAGTATCAAGCTATAATTTTTAAGCGGGATTTGGGGCCAAAGTGACTGAATAAGTGTGTTGGAAGGGACTTCTAGACCAGTCTGCTACTCAAGCAGGAAACTCTATACAATTCCAGACAAATGGCTGTCCAGTCTTTTCTATTTTACAGTTTTCTGTTGGAAAGGCAATCTAGAGTCACGTTTCTCAATAATTGGCAACTATAACAGGCGTGGACTTCAACTCCCAGAATTCCCCAGCTGAAGAGGGAATTCTGGGAGTTGAAGTTCACACATTTTAACATCGCCAACTTTGAAAAACGCTGCACATTAAGTGCAAAACAAAAATTGGTTGTCCATTTTCCCCTGAATACTGGAGTTATGAGGATAGTGAGTTATGATGATACTAGAGTTATTCTACTTTATTTGGACATAAAATACGGCTTTTTAAAAATTACTATTTGCTTTCACGCTTCGTTTTGAAAATTGCCTTGCTGTCTCTTCATTGGTTCCTCTTCGTTAGCTACGTTTAAATGAATAAATAAATAATTATATATTGCAGCTAATTGAAACTGTGTAGTTTTGATATTTTTAAACTATTTTTTTACAGTTCCACAAAGGTGATTGTAAGATATAAAATATTAAAACAATAAAGAGAGATCCTGAATTTTTTTCAAAATGCAATGAAAATAAAAATAAAAATGAATGATTATAAAAAAAATTTTTTTGCCTTTTTACCTGCATTTGTATATATAAATGAATTTCTTCCCCTCCCTTCTCAGTTCTGTTGGGCTTGGATATGTTTGTATTTAAAAGATTTATTTGGCTACCCATCTTAGGTAGCATCAACAAGGCCACAAATAATATTTAGACAGATCTTTAATTAGACTTGTTCTTTTGATCAGTTTTGCATGACTGTTATCCATCTGTATAAGGAGAGTTGGATATTTGCAGTTGGAATAGAGGCCCTAAACTAGTGCCTCAGCCTTGGGCACTTTAAGAGGCATGGACTTCAACTCCCAGAAATCCCCAGCGTTTCTGGCTGGGGAATTCTGGGAATTGAAGTCCATGCCTCTTAAAGTGCACAAGGTTCAGAAATACTGCCCTAAACTGAACAATTTAACAAGTAATAAAAGGCACAACATACTGAAAGGCTAAATAAAAACATTTTCTGCCCATCATTCCTTAAGTACCAGCCACCAACTAGGCATCAAGATCTTCTCACAGTCACAAAGATGAGGTGATTAGGATGATGCTTTCCACTTATTCTTCTCTCATGCACAAAATTTCCTCATTTCTTTACTATTCTGGTTCTCTCCAACATGTTTCGTTCCAGATTTTATAGTCCCCCATAACAATGCAACATCACATAGTTCAACCTTGGTTTCTATTATTATTGCTATTATTGCTGTTGTTGTTGTCATCATTTTGTATTATTATTATTATTATTCATTAAACATGAAACTCGGTCAACTGAACATTTTAAAATGTATCTCAAATATTGACTGGCACTGATCAGCATCCTAAGTATCAGCCAAGTATCTTCTTAAAATTATTAATAAAATAATAATAATTATTCCTTTATTCATTAAACATGAAACTCGGTCAACTGAACATTTACAAATGTATCACAATTTAAAATTGTTATTGTTATTGTTATTATTATTATTGTTGTTATCTACAGTTAGATAAGAGAAAGGGGAACACTTCATAATTCAAATCCTAACTATGGACTGAAGAATAATTATGCTCATGCTTGAGGAAGTAGGTGTATACGGTGCTATTTATTTTTATTTACTAAATTTTTATGCTGCCCAAATTCCCTCTAAAGTGAATCTAGGCAGCTTACAAATTATGAAACAAGCAAAAAGATTATTAAAACATTCAAACTACACCATTTCAATTAGCCACAATATATAATTATTGCTTATTTATTTAATAAATCAAAAACATTGCAGCTCATTGAAGCGGTGTCATTTTAACATTTTAAAAACTATTTCTTTGGAGCTGACCGAAGACAGCTCTAAGCCGCTTCCAGACCTTGAGGTAAATGCAACTTTAAAACAACGAAGTGAGATCCTGAGGTTAAAAAAAACAAATGCAATGAAAATAAAACAATTATAAAATTTTTATTTTTTTACCTGGCAGCCGAGCCTTCCAGCAAAAGCTCCTCCTTGTCTTTCCCTCTTTTGAACAGCCGTGTGGCTTGCTTAACCTTTTCCAGCAGATTCAGGAGAAAAATGCGAAAGAAATCTGATTCCCAAACTTCAGCCAAACCGGCCCCGTAATGCTCTCGAATAAGCCTCAGGTGCTGGTAGATCAGGGGCAGGAGGGAAGGCAGGTGAGGAGGGCTATTCCGAAGGGCCACCTGAGGTTGGCACGCCAGCTGTTGCAGCTTGGTTAACCCCTGGAGGGCTTTCTCCAAAGAACGGTGGGCTCCCGTCCAGCGGGGCATCCAAGCGGGCCCAGGTGCCACGGCCATGCTGGGGTTCCCAGGTGAGCTGAGGAAGGAGGGAGCTTGCCACGGAGTTTCCTGCTGCCGACCTGCAGGTCAGCGAGGGCACTGCTGCGTGTGTCAGGAAGGAAGGAGCCCAACCAGCTTGAAAGAGAGAAAGAAAGAAGGGAGGGAGGGAGGGAGGGAGGGAACTGGAGGATTGAAGTGACAAAGGCAGTGAGTAGTGAAGTAGTAAGTGTGTGTGTGTGGGGGGGGGGAGAACCAGAGAGGAAATAACAAACCGGCTTGAGAGCATCAGACAAACACATAGGCCACAAAGCAGAGGGTGAAGTCAACAAGTGAGGTGGACAGGTTCAAGCTTGCAGGGGAGGAAGGGCAGGTTTCGAGGCAGGCGGTGGGTCCCGTCTGTAATTCAGCTCTGGGAACGACGGGAGTGCCAGCGCCAGACAAATTGCAAAATAAAAAAACCCAGTTCGTACAATGCTCCTCCTGGTCCTGAGAAGAAGGAGTCTGGAGGCCGGCAACCTTAGACAGAGGTTTCTGCTATGGTTTCATCCACAGAGCAGCAGGTCCAAGACCTGGAAAAAAAAACACAACAACAACAACCAGAAGTTACGTTTCCCTCTTTCGATAGATTTTAATCAGGCATGTGCGTGTGTTGCATTGACTCTAACAGTGGCTGATTGCCTTTTTTTTTGTTTGTTTGTTTGTTTCCATCCTGTTCTTTTTGGGCCAAGTCAAGTGAAGTAGGGTGTAATTCATGGCATGAAAGAAATCAGTTGCAGGGGCCACAAAATTCTGTTGTAATCCTGCTCTGCCCCCTCCCCCCAAAAGGCTGAGCTGATAAAAGCAGACAAAATTAAAAAATGGTGGTATTAATTGGTTGTTTTAGGTTGGACAATGAATTGAATGGGAAGGGAGGGAGGAGGAGGGAGAGGGAGAGAGGGAGGAAGGGAGGGAGGAAGGAAGGAGGGAGGGAGAAAATGAGGGAGGGAGGAAATGAGCAGGGAGAAGCAAGGGGGAGGGAGAGAGGAAGAAAAGAAGGGAGGGAGGAAGGAAAGAAGGAGGGAGGGAGGAAAGGAGTGAGGAGAAACAAGGGGGTGAGAGAAAGGAAGGAAGGAGGGAAGGAGAGAGAGAGGAGAGGGGAGAGGGAGGAAGGGAGGGAGGCGGATGGAAGGAGGAAGGAAGGAGGGAAGGAGTGGGGAGAAGTGAGGGGGAGGGAGGAAGGGAGGAAGGAAGGGAAAGACAGAAAAAGAGTGTGAAAGAGAGAGAGGAAGGAAGGAAGGAAGGAAGGAAGGAAGGAAGGAAGGAAGGAAGGAAGGAAGGAAAGAAGGAAGGAAGGAAGGAAGGAAAGAAAGAAAGAAAGAAAGAAAGAAAGAAAGAAAGAAAGAAAGAAAGAAAGAAAGAAAGAAAAGAGGACTGACATTTTAAAGTTATTTTTGCACTTTTAAAAAAAGATCCAAAAATCCTCTCTTTGTGAGCTCAGGAGAAGGAAGTGTGATGCAGACAAATACAATCTTAGCTTTCCTCATCAGCCCTGATGAGGGGCTTGTCTTATTTGTGACTTTACCAATTGAACATTGATTGATTTTTGTACTCATATTATTATTTTGGGGCACTTATTTTGTAAATGATGCTGTTCTTTTTGGTTTTCGCCTTGTGCGCCTGGCTTAGAATAACTGTCCCGAGATGAGCAGCTGCAAGCGTTGTTTAAATAAATAAAAATAACTACGTAAACATGAACCAGGGGATCTCAAACAATATCAGACTAAAGTTTATTTTTCAGCTTCATTGAACAAAACAGTTCTGTAGAAACCAAAGTCCAGTATATCTTGAAATTTCTTGGGCAAAGTTCAACAATGATAAGTTGCACTTGGCAAGTTGCATTTACCACAAGAAATATGAAAGCCATTAAAAAAGGAATCCTCAAAAGTTAGATTTTTTTGTACGGAAGTCTGCCAAACTTTTAGAGGACTAGTAAACCAGTAAATTTATATCGGTTGTAGGCTACTGGCATATAGGATGCCCACAGAGTGGGTTCAAAACAGTCAAGATGGCTGCTTTAAGCATACTGTGGTGGAGACCATTTTGACTTTTTTGACCTCACCCTGCAGACATTTCTCCTGTTACTTGCCAGTAATCTTGATAAGTGGCTAAAGAATCCACTTATTTGTCCACAGGCCACCGTGCCATGCTTTATGGCAGCGTTTCTCAACCTTGGCCATTAAATTTTTAACATGTATGGACTTCAACTCCCAGAATTCTCCAGCAAGCCTGGGGAATTTTGGGAGTTGAAGTCCACGTGCCTTAAAGTTGCTGAGGTTGCGCAACACAGCATTAAACCTAACAGGCCACAAGATGACAGAAGAGAATCCAGCTACTTGTGATTTACAGTCAACTAAACAAGTAAGCCATGATTTAATCTGGGGTACCATAAGGACCCACAAGAGGAAAATCACCAAATTAGCACTGTAGTATCATAATGCCACTTATTTATACAAGTAATTCTTGACTTACAATACTTTGTGTAGTGACTGAAGTTACAATGGCACTAAAAAAGTGACGTGCCCATTTTTCACACTTATGACCTATGCTCACGTGATCAACATTCAGACGCTTGGCAACCGACTCATATTTATTGTGGATTCCTATACTCTTTTAACAAGAGTTATTGGCCAAATCTCTTTACACATTGGGGGGTGGGAATGAAATAAAAATGAAATTCAGTGAAAGGTCAACCCAGCCCTGACTGGGACTTAATCTTTGCTGCAGAGGTGGGATTTCTTGGATAAAGTTCACCCCTCTAACAATAACTACTGTAAAACTAAAGTACCTTGAGGTACCAGGCATTTTTCTCCGCCACTTGTAACCCATTATGCAACACCTGTGATTAGACTGGGAAGTGAATTTTTTGAGATAATCCCTCTGGGCAATCTTGAACTTGTTTGTCTCTCTGATTTCAAAATAAGCCTTGAGCAAGAATGTCCCAGGAAGTTAAACTGTCCCCTACTACTAGAAGAAAAGGCCCTTTTGCATGTGTTCCAAGATGCCTCCCCCCCGCCCCCCCACCCAGGTAAGTCACCTATTTCTCCATCTTAGAAAATGTTAGATATGCAGACTTCAACTGCCAGAATTCCCCAGCCAGCAAGTTAATGATTTTAAAGACGTGTATGTCCACATCCATAATTCCTCAGGAAACATGAATTGGAAGATGTGTGGACTTCAACTCCCAGAATTCCCCAGCCAGCAAGCTAATGATCTTTAAGATGCGTGTATGTCAACTCCCGTAATTCCTCAGGAAACATACTTATGGATTGTAAAATGTGTGGACATCAAATCCCAGAATTCCCCAGCCAACAAGTTAATGATTTTTATAAGATGCGTGTATGTCAACTCCCATAATTCCTCAGGAAATAAGCTTGTGAATTGTAAGATGTGTGGACTTCGACTCCCAGAATTCCCCAGGCAGCATGTTTCTGAGCTGTAAGTTATATGGACTTCAACTCCCAGAACTCCTTAGCTACCATGCTAATGATCATTAAGATGTGTGGATGTCAACTCCCATAATTCCTCAGGAAACTTGTTTATGAATTGTAAGATGTGCGGACCTCAACTCCCAGAATTCCCCAGCCAGCATGGGGGAAATTTTCCAGCATGGGCTAGGGAATTCTGGGAGTTGAAGTCCACACATTTTAAAATTGCTAAGGTTCAGAAGGATGTGCCTTAGGGGACATGATCAAAAAAGCAAGTTGATAGGCCTCCCCTTCTTTAGATGGGATTGCATCCCAGTGGTGGCCATCTTGACTTTTTTGACCAACTCCCCCCCTGCAAATACTCCTTCTGTCCCAGGCTTTTTCTGTTCCAGAACTATGCATGCTGGCAAATGGAAAAGGGCTTGAAAGTTTGAAAATATTTGTAGTTGGCAAATTTGAATGAGTTATGCCTGCCTCAAAGCCAGCCGCAAAATACCAACACCACAAAGTCAACTTGTGGGGTTTTTCCCCTCGACCACTCCCTCCACATCCTCAGTTTACCTTTCTTTTCTTCTGCACAGGTGGACATATTTCCAGAGAGGTTTTGGAACACAGCCATTCAGCGTTTTCCTGCCTCAAATTAGCCACCAGTGTCATTTTTACACAACCGTCGAGCGACCCGCAGATTGCTCTCTCTCTCTCTCTCTCTCAAAAGTGGCCTTGCTAAATATGGTACACGGCAGAGGTGGTATTCAGCCAATTCTGACCAGTTCTGGAGAACCGGTAAGTGGACATTTTGAGTAGTACGGAGAACCGGCAAATACCACCTCTGACTGGCCCCGCCCCATCTATTCTCCGCCTCCCGAGTCCCAGCTGATTGGCTGGGTCTTCTTTGGTTGTCCTGCACAGGAGAACGGAGCTGGAAAGCAGGTTAGTGGGGTGGGGAGGGAATGGAGATTTTGCAGTATCCTTCTGCTGCCACGCCCACCAAGCCACACCCACCAAGCCATGCCACACCCACCAAACCATGCCCACAGAACCGGTAGTTAAAAAATTTGAATCCCATCACTAGTACATGGGTCTCCCAAATGTGATCTTGGGGCTTACAAGTAGTCCTTGACTTACGACCATAATCGGATGCAGAATTTCCATTGCTAAGCGAGGTGGTGGTTAAGGGAGTCACTGTTCTGACCCAAACCTTTTTCCAATAAAACAAACAATAATCAAAGGGAACAGACACTTTTTAATGAGTCTTATGAATCACCAGTGAAAAGGCTGCTGCAAACTAATTAACTTTGATAAGCACAAACCTTGCCAAAACTGTGCAAAACTGCCAAGAATCACAGATAAGAAATATTTCACAACACAAATACCAACTTAAGATACTGAAATGTCCACGAGGCTGAGTTTCAAAACGTTTTTGCTTCCTGCAAAGAACATTCGCTTCACAGCTGGCTTTTATCTTCTTGAAGTAGGGGCCGTTACCTTGCAGCCTTACTCCCGAGTTGTCTGTGCAGAGAGTTACCTGCTCTTTCCTATGAGCAATCCTGCGTGCATGCACACTTGGCACAGGCTCCTCAGGAACCTCTTCATCGCTGCTGCCAGCCTTCACAATCTCTGAATGCAGCAGTACACTCCCTAATGGTCCTGGCCCCTCATCTGAGTCCTCGCTCTCCTCAGCCGTCCGCACTTGCTGCCGGCTAACCACAAC